GAAATTACAAAGTAAAAAGGTTGGCTTCCTCTGGAAATGAGGACAACTTAAGCTAAGCAAAATACAGAAAAATACCAAACACAACATGCCATGGTTAAGCATGTATCCTATTCTTGTGCAAACCCCATAAGAGCCTAAACAGGTGTATCATACTAGTGTTAACTGTAGTTTCATATTAATCAGGTGCCACTGTACATTGAAAAGTTATTTAAGAAGTTCGTTTACTGAGTACAGAAGTCAGGTGCAGTAAACTCCGGCAGAGAGATACTGGAAGAATGCTCGCATTTATGAGATAGCAGAAAGAAGCCTTTTGGGATCCTCTGAGCCAACAACCACATTCTGAGGCAGACACAACTGAAACGTTATGAGTAACAGAATGGCCCCCATGAACAAGAGGTGCTTTAACATTTGTCTACTCCACCAGAAACACGTTTTCCCCTTTGCCTTGACAATCAGGAGGCTCAAAACCAAATATATGGCCCAAATTAAGCAACTCTACAGCAATCTTTCACACACAGTCTTATTCATGGCTTCAACTTATTTGTCCTCAATCTCCTCTGATATTTATTATTTTTGAATAGATTTTATTTTTTAGAAGAGTTTTAGGTTCACAGCAAAACTGAGCAGAAGGAACAGAGAGTTCCAATAGGCACTCCTGCCCTCACACGTGCACAGCCTACCTCACCTATCAACGTCCCCCACCAGAGTGGTACATTCGTTACACCTGGTGAGACTTCGATGGCGCATCATTATCACCTGAAGTCCACAGTTTACATTAGGACTCACTTTTGGACTTGTACATTCTATGGGTTTGGACGAACGTGTAATGACGTGTATCCACCATTGCAGCATCACAGAGAATAGTTTCACTGCCAGAAAAATCCTCTGTGTCCTGCCTATATCCCTGATTCTCTCCTAACCCCTGGCAACCACTAATCTTTTTACTGTTCCCACAGTTTTGCCTTTTCCAGAATGTCATAGAGTTGGAATCAGACAGTATGTAGCCCCTTTGGATTGGCTTCTTTTACTTAGTAATATGCATTTAAGGTTCCTCCATGTCTTTCCATGGCTTGATAGCTCATTTCTTTTTAGTACTGAATAATATTCCACTTGGGATGTACTACAGTTTATTTATCCATTCACCTACTGAAGGACATCTTAGCTGCTTCTAAGTTTTGACAATTACGAATAAAGCTGCTACAAACATTTGCGTGCAAGTTTTTGTGTGGACATAAGGTTTCCACTCAGTTGGGTAAACATTAATTTTTTATACAATACATAAATTCCCTCAGATTTTTATTGAAACGAGTGAGAGTGCATAAAATAACACCCCATCTGATTCCTTGTTTCATGGTTAAACCACATGGACAGTAGCACTTGAGGTGAATTTGAGGAAGCAATAATGGTATGAGAAAAGGAGCAACAAACCACATTCAAACTAAACTTGTTCTACTTTTCATCATGAAATGCATGTTCCCAGAAGCCCATGGCAAAAGTGATCTCACTATTACCCAACAAAACAATATGTCTTCTACATAACAGCAAAAGCCTAGGGTACTCAAAATACTTTCTCTCTCATGAGATACAATGCCAAAATGCTTATGAACATACTTACTTATGTTAGCAAACACTTCAGTATAGATTTCAATGCAAATCCATTTCCTCTCTTCCAACTATTATAATATTAAAACACAGAACAGCTTACACATTTAGATATATGTGATATGAAATAACTGTACCTATAAGAAAGGTATTTACTTTTGCCAAAGTTAATCCATAACTGCATTAAATTTTGTGGTAGATTCAACCTGTTTCGTCTTATTTTCCTTCCCTTATCTTTTTGCCCCTTAATGCTTACTTAAATTTATTAATCTGCTCTATTATATGTATCTATCATCTGCCTTAAATCACTTTTGGTGTAAGGCAGGGCAAAAATTATTAAAGAATGAGTGAAATAATCAAAGTACTTCAAAATTCATAAGCTTTCTGGACAGCTTATACATTCTTTTTTGGATGAAAATTCTCTTTAGGAAAACCTACCCCTAATTTTTTGGTGCGAATTCTATTATATAAATATGGTTGAAGTGTTAATAAGCTAATTTCAAACTTACATATTATAGTATCACTTGACGAAGAATTATGGTATCATTTGACTAGAAATTAGATGTTTAAAAGCCTCTTGAACCTTCAGTCTCTTTTATATGACACTTGTTTATGTTTTGTTTAATAATTATAATGTATCATAACTACATACAATTTAGAAAATAAAGGAAAGAATAAACAACAAAATTAAAAGAACACATGGCACATTCACTCAGAGAAACTGCTGTTCATTTTCACTGTATCTTACTATTCCTCTTTCTCATGCTACAATTCACTCATCTAAGTAACAGTGGGGGAAGTGTTGATGCCAACGTCTGGTTTTACCTAACTTTCCTGGCCCCTGTCTGAGGCCTGTCTTCCCTAGATAATCAAATATACACAACCTCCACCTTTTTCATTCACAAACACATTCTCACAGACACAGTCCCTGTTTCTACCTGAATGAAATGCAGTAAAGAATCAGTAGGTGTAATGATAATCAGTTCTTTTCCTGCCTTTTACAGTTGCTCATGTCTTTCTTGTCTAGCAATTTATAGCTGAAGACTCACCTACCTTATCAAATGTTACCCTCTTTTGCTTCACTTAAGTCGGTCTTCTCTATGCCTATATAAAAAGACTGTTTTCTTCCCTCCTGTGACATCAAAATAGGCTGTCTCTAAATTTCACCACAAAACTTCATTTAAAACATGTATATCTTCCTCCCAAATCAATTGATCTATAGCCACAAGATTAATCTACAAAAAAATATATGCCCTTCTAAGCCGGTGTCTGTCTACATGTGGTAACCCTGATTCTCCCATCACATTCTTGGTCTATGAATACTTCATTCAGGATACAAAAGGGGGCATTAAACAATAACTGATACCTGAAACTAAACAGAAATATATTCCTGTTATAAAATAATAAATTTTAGTACATTGTGGAAGTAATTATATCTGGTTTCATAAGGTATAACTATTTTGAGATTTAAATTAGCCTATACTTAGAAAAATTATTTTATTTTTAATTTCTTCCACATCTATTTAGAGTGAAACAAAAGAAGTAGGCTAATGTGCAAACACTTTCAGATACTTGTTACTGGATTAAATAGAAAATTACATGGCACATGTGACCAAAAAGTAGTATTTCTGCCATGAAGTATTAATAAAAAATAAATGATGCAATATTCTTTCCTTTCTAAGAAACAGATCAGAGAAGGTCTATCCTACCATTCTTAACAGAAAAACTAACCACCACGAAATAATGTTCTTATGTAAAAGATGTTTCTTTCAGGATGTCCCTGTCCCAATAATTCACTCTTTATGGCAAATGTCTCCAGTGTTACCTTGTAAGTCTGAATCATTTGACTTCGGACTGCTTCTTGCTCGCCGCTCTGTTTTCTTAATTCCCGGCCCGCCACCGCTGCCGCCTCCGCCACTGCCACCACTGTGGCCCTTCCCATAGCCATTGTACACTGTTGTGCAGTTGCTTTTGTAGATAGAAGAAGGAGGACTATTGAGGCGGTTCTGACGATCAATCTGGCGGTCTTTGAGTTTTTTGTGCGGAGGCTTGCTGTACTGGTCTTCTCTGGTAATGTAGCTTGACATTCCATACAGTGGTATAATTTCTAAAATGAATGATTATGACAAACGCAAGCTCAGTCTACATTTTCAATAATGAATTATTGAACAGTCAAATGATCTGGCCCCTGAAGAAAGAAGTCTAAAGTATAGAAGAAGTCTGAAGCATTACTAAATACAGCATAAAAACATTTTTAAGACAGTGTTTTATACATCATATACTTAAAGTATTCCCTTTCACTTCTAACCAATCAAAGAATTAATCAATCATTAAAAACTATGTGTTCAGAAATTTTCTATAAATTATGGAGAATACTTGGATAATAACCTTGCAAACAAGGTTATTCTCCAAGAGTTCATATTCTAGTTGAATTTATAACTAGTAAGTTTGATTTTACCTGTCGAAATGTTTTTAGTAGTTGCAATACATGAAAAAGTTAGAAAAAATAAAATATTGCCTTTAAGTGTACTTAGAATCAAGATACTTAAAAGTATATTTATCTTTGTAAACAGAATAACATTTCTATTGGAAAATATACAGCAACCAGGATATAAAGAGTTGTTTGTGGCATCCAAAAGAGTCAACATTTGAACAAAACTTACTAAAATAATGAAATGAGAAATTTCCATTAAAAATAATCAAAGTTCACAGAATCAGTCGAAATGTTCAAGGAGGAAGTGTAGGGGTAAATAAAAGCCATCTCTGCAATCTGGTGTCAGACATAATAAGCTGTGGTGTCAAACTGCTCTCTTGGAATAATAGGAGGTAAAACAAAAGTAGAATGTCAGCTGGCTTCACTACGCATATTTTCAAGTAGCTCAAGAGAAAATGGGAGCCGGCAAAATAATCTTATGATCTTAGAGGAAAAATTTATCTTAAATTTAAATTTTTAAATCAGTTTGAAATTATAGTTAGGCATCAACAAAAATGACAATGCATAACATACAGATTAGGCCTTTATATCTTTATAAGAAAAAGGGTCCCCCATCTACAGAGTGACCACATAAATTCCCCTCAAACTCTGAACACTTCTGAGAGTAAAAACGGAGGACTACTCATAATTTCTCCAAGACAAGAGACATAAACCAGGACTATCCCAGGCACAGCACAAATGTATGGTTACACTAAGTAATTTAACAACTGATGTTTCAATTGTTCAGTGGTAAAGCTCCAAAAGACTTTGGACTCCAGGTGGACTCCAGTATTCTTAAACTTTTTATTTTCTTTCTGTTCACATAGCTAAAGGAAGATCTTTAAAAACAAATCTTCACAAGACAAACAGTTTGCACAGAAAATGTGTAAAATGTGTAAATACAATTCCATTTAGACAGCATATAACAAAATAAACTATGTCAAAATATACCAGAGGATAGTAAATGTTCTAAATGCCACAATGCATTACAGTGGAGATTTAAAATATTCACCATGGGTACTAAATACAACAATCTTTAAAACATGTTGAAAAATTTTTTAACTCTTATGGTTTGGGAAATTAATGTTTAAATTGCTTTTGGGTATGCACACTAACAACTAAGGGAAGAATATATAAATGGCTTTTTATTTATAAGGCAAAGGGATTTTGTTTAACTGCTTTAATTTGAAATCAATGAAGGTACTTTTATTTGTACATATTGCTCTATGTTATTTTAATGAAATTAGACCAAAATACGTAAGATGAAGGGACTACAATTTTGTTTGTTTAATTCTAATGATGATTTAAATGATACTGCTGTCTTGCCTAAAATTGCAAAGGACACCATTTACAAACAGTAACTATAATGTACATTCCACTAACAGACTGCTAAAATAAGGCAGGTCAGACATGTGTCATCAAGCCATGAGTCAGTAGCCAAGGCTATTTACAACATCACCATAGCTCAGATCCAGCCAGAAAACCCTGAGAAATACTCAATTATTTAATGTATATTGTATGAAAGCACTGAATACTTTTTTGAGATAGGGTCTTGCTCTGTCATCCAGGCTGGAGTGCAGTTGCCGATCATAGCTCATTGCAGCCTGAAACTCCTGGGCTCAAGCGATCCTCCTGCCTCTCAGCCTTCCAAGGTAGCTGGGACTACAAGTGTGTGCCACCACGCCTGGTTAATTTTTTTTATTTTTATTTTTTGTAGAGACAGGGTCTCGCTATGTTGCCTAGGCTGATCTTAAACTCCCGGCCTCAAGCGATCCTCCTGCCTCAGCTTCCCAAAGTGCTAGGATTACAAGCGTGAGCCATTGCACCCAACCTACTTCTTAAAATATTATAGCTAACTAAATTTTTTCAGTTTTTTCAATAGGAAGTTAATGATGCTGCTATGAAATCAAAGTATTGATTTCATGTTTTGCTATCATCTCCCAACACCCTCTTATGAAAGAGTACCTGATTTATTTGAATCATGTTAAATTTCTTTCTGACTACTAAGAAGAAAAATCAAATTCTATCCCAAGTTATAACAAGATATTTCA